GGTTCAAAAAACACATTATTTTCCACATACTGTACATTAATGTTTCTCCTCTATGCCCCACCTTTCTGAAACATGTCGATTTTTGCAAAGCTCATTGGTCTGAAAAGCAAGGTGTGCTCTGATTGGCCAGCTATCCAGTGCGTTGTGATTGGTCAAATACCTCAAGCATGTGACGGAAATGTTACGCCCCTTGCCATATTGTGATGCCTTGTCCGGCTGGAGCGACGAGACAAAAACATTAAAACCCATTATAAACGAGGCATTTGTTGCATCCAGTGGGGACATAATTACGGATTATAATAACTTATACTGTCTTTTTACGCGTTACATTGCATCGCGCCGCGTAAACATAAAACCATGTCTGCATTTGTGATCGGAGAAATGACAAACTACAAACGCTACTCTACACTGCCCAAAACTCGCTTTTGAATCGTCAGTGACAAATTCTTTATATATAAAAAACGTACTTACAGTCTGTGAATCAGAACAGCCGGCATTGTAGTCTACTCTCCCAGGATCAGGAAACAGTCCTCCAAAAAATGCGCTGGACACATCAGAATATTTGGGTTGATGTAAATACAACTTAACCACTGATTTCTAGTTGTGTCCTCTTTTGGAAGGCCAAACAAAGTAGTTTCGCTTTCACAACGAAACACAGTGTCACACACGGCGGCCTAGAGTGAGCGGCGGCGGCCTAGAGTAAGCGGATGCCGGAGGCCTAGAATGAGCAGAGGCTGGGGGCTAGAGTGAGGAACGGCCGGAGGGCTAGAGTGAGCAGAGGCAGGCGGGCGTGAGAACGGTGCAGCCGGTGGATTCGACAAAGGAGCTTCCGGCGGGCTTGCGGCAACCTAGTGAGCGGCGGCGGCCTAGAGTAAGCGGATGCCGGAGGCCTAGAATGAGCAGAGGATGGGGGCTAGAGTGAGGAACGGCCGGAGGGCTAGAGTGAGCAGAGGCAGGCGGGCTTGAGAACGGTGCAGCCGGTGGATTCGACAAAGGAGCTTCCGGCGGGCTTGCGGCAACCTCATGTGACGACCTCGGATATCGTCCTCTTTTGGAAGGTCAAACAAAGTAGTTTCGCTTTCGCAATGAAACACAAACATACAGCGCCTTCATGACATGGCGGCGGCAACAACAATACCACAGCGAGAATAAAAGTTTTGCCTTCTTTCTTTGCATGAACATTTGGGCGGTGTTTTGCTAATCTTCCCACATCGTGACGTAGACGTGTGGGGACGTGTTAGAACGAGCCGTTTTAGGTAGGCGTGGTTGACTCTTAACTTTTATAAAGAATATCTCTGGATTTGAGACTTTAGTCTTTGCGACTTTACAGACCTTCTTTATGCACGAAGAGCTTGTAACACTCCAAAGAAAAATTGAAATCGCATCATATGACCCCTTTAATCTGTATCTATTTGAAATGGCTGGCTGGGCAGATGGGCTCAGTTAAAGACAGCAAAAGTCTTAGCTGACACATTGGCACAATAAACACAAGCTGGCACAGGGCTCATCAATCAGCACATGTGGTTGGTGACAGGAAATGTGAACCTCTCCATATATAGGCTGTGTTGTAAGCACTGACACACCTCATACAGGGAGGTGCCTGCTTAAGTCTGGGTCTCTAAGAGAGGTCTCCCCCGGAACATGTCATCATCCCGCTCTCCCTGTGGGCCGTGGGGTGACTGGGACATGCTTTAATTTCTTAAATTTCCAGTCTGAGAGAAGATTTTACACTGCTTGCTGGAAAGCTTTGGAGTTATTTACTGTTCTCTAGGGTGACCATACGTGCCATTTTCCCAGGACGCATCCTGGCCAGGATTTCTATATTGCCTAAAATATCTAGGTTTTGGCTTTGTTTGCGTGTGCAGACCGATCGGTGTATGACATCAAAATACCATACAGACGGTTCCTTATGCTTTCAAAATGCTCTCGAGGTATTTTGATGTCATACACCGATCGGTCTGCACACGCAAACAAAGCCAAAACCTAGATATTTTAGGCAATATAGAAATCCTGGCCAGGACGCTTCCTGGGAAAATGGCACGTATGGTCACCCTACTGTTCTCATTTCTGGGAATTAAGTGTTTAGATTATCTTGATTTGTAATTTAGTGGGCCATTGATTTAATTGCAATTAAATCAATTAGTAATGTCACCTCCTATTTGAGTCAAATGCATAGTTTTTCTTTTTGCACTGAATATTGCATTTATTTAGTATTGAACATTTTAATAGTGCAAGCCATTACAGATTTGTATAGATTCATACAGTATGACTTATCTATCTATCTATCTATACTAGGATATTCATATTAGTTTTTTTTTGTTTGTTTCTCAGGGTGGAGAATGCCTGTGCAAAGCTGGTGGAAGCAGCTCATATGCTGAGGACAGACCCCTACTCTGTCCCGGCCCGTGATTACCTCATTGATGGCTCGCGGGGCATCTTGTCAGGCACTTCCGACCTGCTTCTGACCTTTGACGAGGCAGAGGTATGAATGGGAATGGGGACTGTCTTGATGATGAAGTCAAGGATAGGGTTGCAAAGGGGTGGAAAATTTCCGGAAACTTTCCAAAAATCCCTGGAATATTCAAAAAAAAAATCCTGGAAAGTTTCCAAAATTTCTGGAATATTTCTGAAATTTACTGGAAATTTTCCACCTTTTTGCAACCCTAGTCAAGGATGATGATTAATGTTTTAATAAAAATATTTGAGATTAATGATTTGTTTTGTTCATGTCTTTTACAGTGTAGCCTAATCCTAATACACATTCAAAAGAAACTCAGTATTCAGCGAGAATGCACTGAATTGACCAAAAGTGACAGTAAAGATATTTATAATGTATATGTTACAAAAGATTGCTGTTTCAAATAAAAGCTATTCCATTGTTTCTATTCATCTAAGAATCACGAAAAAATTTATTATGGTCTCATCAAAAATATTAATCACCGCAACTGTTTTCAGCATTAATAGTAATAAAAAATGTTTATTGAGCAGCAAATCAGAGTCATGTGACACTGAAAATTGTAGTAATGGCTGCTGAAAATTCAGCTTTGCATTGCAGAAAAAAAATATTTTATTAAAATAGAAAACAGTTGTTTTAAATTGTAAAAATATTTCACAAAATTACTGTTTTTACTGTATTTTTGATCAAATAAATGCAGCCTTGTTGAGCATAAGGAATTTCTTTGAAAAAACGTACTGACCCCAAACCTTTGAATAGTATTGTACACCTGCAGAAGTCATTTACTGACATTAAACTCGGAATCATACAATAAAACCTTATTTTCTTGGCTTTGTGAACAAATAGATCACAGTGATAGAAAGACATAATGTTTTAAATAAATATTAAAAGCGAAGTGTTTTAAATATTACTCTTTGGTATTCCTCTTTTAACTAAATTACAAACTACAAACGCTACTCTACACTGCTCAAAACTTGCGTTTGAATCGTCAGTGGCAAATTCTTTAAATATGAAAATGTACTTACAGACTGTGAGTCAGAACAGCCGGCATTGTAGTCTACTCTCCCAGGATCAGGAAACAGTCCTCCATAAAATGCGCTGCACACTGTTCTGGAACAGTGTTGTAAATACAACTTAACCACTGATTTCTAGTTGTGTCCTCTTTTGGAAGGCCAAACAAAGTATTTTCGCTTTCGCAACCAAACACACAGCGTCTTCACAACATGGTGGCGGCGGCAGCAACAATAAAGTTACGCCTTCTTTCTTTGCGTGAACATTTGGGCGGTGTTATGCAAATCTTCCCACATAGTGACGTAGACATGTGGGGGCGTGTTTAAACGATGCGTTTTAGGAGGGCGTGGACCAGTCTTAACTTTTATAAAGAATATCTCTTTGGGTTTGAGACTTTAGTCTTTGCAACTTTAGGGATCTTATCTATTCACAAACAGTTTGTAACACTCCAAAGAGAAAGGAAAACTTGAAATCGCATCATATGACCCCTTTAATAGTGCTGCTATCATCTTTCTCAAGGAGCTGTGTTGTTCACAGGGCACTGAGTAAGCATGATGTTATGGTACTATATCTTGAGGGTCTGTCTGTTTGTGGCAGAGACCTGCAAAATAAAACATTAGTCCACTGGGATCCCTGTAGCCCAAATGGTAGAGCATGGCACTAGCAATGTAAAGGTTTGATTCCCTGGAAATACTGATAAAATTCGTATTTTTGTATCTTCTTAAGGTGCGTAAAATTATCCGGGTGTGTAAAGGGATTCTGGAGTACCTGACCGTTGCAGAGGTTGTGGAAACCATGGAGGACTTGATCACTTATACTAAAAACCTCGGACCAGGTACATTTGATAATTTGTTTTATTTCTCTGTTACTTCCTTTTGAAGAGGTTTCATTTATTTCTGATTTGAATTTAAAGTTGACACTGTTGACATCTGGCTCATGCAAGTGGACAGTTGGCAGAGACTTTTTGCATGAATGGAATCCATTGTTATTATGGTTGAATTATTATTTTCAGATGCTTTTGTTACTTTTTTTGTTTTTTTAAAGATTACTCTCTTTGAATGATGGTATGACCATGAAAAACTGTTTATTTGTTATATATCTCCTCTTCAACTGTTTTTATTAGGTGGTATGTTGTTTGTTTTCCTCACTTAAATTAAAATTTCCTGATAATTTACTCACCCATGTTTCATCCAAAATGTCTGTCTTTCTTTCTTCAGTCAAAAAGAAATTAAGGTTTTGGAGGAAAACATTCCAGGATTTTTCTCCATATACTGGACTTCCATGGGGATCAGCGGGCTGAAGGTCCAAATTGTAGTTTCAATGCAGCTTCAAAGGGCTTCACATGATCCCAGCCGAGGAATAAGGGTCTTATCCAGTGAAATGATCGGTCGAAACGGTAGAAAATGACAGATCGTTTCACTGGATAAGACCCTTATTCCTCGGCTGGGATC